TTTGTCATGTCCATTACTATATCGTAGTCTCGTACTTTTTTGTAATTAAATACATTTTTGTTCATTCAGAAGAATCATGATTCAACCCCTGAAACTCGAACGTACACTTAAAGTGACAAGTCTGTACTAATCAATGATCTTTCGAATTTTAAATCCTTGCCGGTCATATCTAGCTGTTAGAATCGATTTCCTATTAGCACAAGTTAAAAACAACAGTTACTATTTACCCTCGTATGTACTACTCCATAACGTGTTACTGCACAAAAGCTCTAAGTTTAAGGCACGGAATCACGCTATAAGGTGAGCGCAGAAGTCTGGCGGAAGAAATTCTTAGTTAAGAGCTGAACAAGAGTTCAAAACATGAGTGTACCGATTTACGAAATGCTTGGGTGCACTCTTCTCATTCGAGTTTCCGCGCAAACAGAACCGGCGCCTGAAGCATAATCTGCAGTCAGCCAAGGCTCCGAGTGGAGTAGATGGATCTTCCCCTGGTAGTACACGAATCGCCGTATGCAGTAGCTGCGAACTTTATCGAATTTTTCAGGGCGCTTGTGGCGTCCCCTCTTCTTAATGCTGAGCCGCGGGGGGGATTCATTCGGTGTCGAAGAAGAGCGGCATCTTTGGCGTGCGCCGCCAAGGATCGAAACATTTCTCCCGTTGGGGCTCTTTTCAGCCTTGCCGCCCTCTTGTCCTTGTGGATTTGCGCCTTTCTGTTCCTTTCTCTGCTTAGCTGGAAAGCCGGCCGGGCCGATCCGGGAATCTTAACAACGATTTCGGCGAGGACTTGGCTTCTCTTTCGCCTCGGCACGTTCCGTCAGGATCCGGATTCTTCAATACGGAACGGGTCGATCTCGGCGCGCTTTTCAACTTCTTCATGATCTCGTAGTACTCCCTCTCTTTATATCCTCTTTGTTTTTATTATTTATTATTAGGTTTTTTATTATTCTTATTCCGTCCTCGTCTCGAAGCTTGTCCCTTCATCCGATTTTTGTTCTTTTTATTTTTTATGAAGACTTTACCACTTGCAGTTAAAAAGGCTTCGTCGTTGGCTCGTTTTTGCTCTGATGTCGCTGGGATTTTCCCGTCGTGTTTTATTTTTAGAGTTAAATATTTTTTTTATTCGCTTTAGATTAGAAATTTTTGTTTGAGTCGCGTTCATTCTTGAACTTTGCGTTTGTAGCGTGTATATTTGTTTTTGGTAGATTTCCATTTGTGTTTGAGGGGGCCCAGTGAATTTGGGGGAACTCGGAAGTCTCTGCTGGGTGAATGGAAAAGACCGTTGGCTTTTCAATTCTAAGGGCGTTTTTCTTCCTCATTCTTTTATCGAAAGACGAGTCGATTGGAGCGGTTTCTCGCTGCTGAGTTCATTCCGCATATCAGGGAAGAGCTGGCTTACCGCTGAAATGCACTCAGCACGGCTGTGTACAGTACGCGGCACAGTTAGCGCGAACTCGGCTTCGGAATTTGTTTTCCCCCGCATAGTGCCTAACATTGGAGTTCACTACTGTGTCCAACATGTGCACATTCCACTACGCCTGTACGTTTAATGGCAACATATCATTCCTATAAAGCAGCGTGATAAGTGCTACGTCACGTTGTTCGTCTTCCTTCCGTGCCGGCTAAAGGAATCGCGCTCGCTGAATGTGCCATGACCTCGTGGTTTCAGTCTGCGCGTTCGCGCATTTGTGTGTCTTGTAGTCTTTGAACGTACTTTGACGACGCAACTTTGCCTCGTTTTATCACGGGTCCGTGCGCAGTCAAGGGCTAGGACATATGGAAACACGAACACGCGTGTCTGCTAAAATCGCAAAGCCAGAGCGCATTCGCTGCTCTTGATTTGTTTACTCAACGATGACGCTGCATGATTGTCCCTCTCGGGTCGGGGCGTAGGTTGCGCTCGGACTGGAGAAGAAACGATGCACTGCGTATGGATGTTGTTCAAATACAGCACGCTACACTCTCGAAGTCGTGTACTACTAGAAACCGAGGAAGAGAAGAAGACGAGAGCGGGCAGGGATGTCAAAACACTGAGCTCTGGTTGGAACGGTTAGTGGGTAGACGCAAAGCTAGCTGCCTTTGCGTCCATTGCACTCGTCGAACGCATTCGAAAAGTGAGTAGAGACGAAGGCAGCCGGATTTGCGTCTAGCCTCTAGTCATTCCAACCAGAGCGCGGGGTTCTGACGCCCCCGGCCACTCTTGTGTCTTTCTCTCCCTCCTTTTCTATCCATATTCTAACGTCTTCATCTGCGCCTTTCTAGAACTTTGAATACGAGTGGTGATCTAAAGTAATCAACACCAATGTTTTCGGAAAGCGTACAAAAAGGATATTCTTTACGAGCCAGTTTATATTTTTTGTTTTATTTTTATCACGTGCGATAATATCACCAAACTGAAAAAACTCCTGACAGTTGTACAATCTCTCGTAGTATATAAACGTGCATATTAAAAAAAAAGTCCGAGGACACCTAAGCACTTCTTATGAGTTGTGAATACGAAAGGATGCCGCCTGCGGCGTATTGCTTCCGCCCCGTATTGTCGAAGGCCCTCTTGCTGCCTGAGACGCCTTGAATCGCGATCCGCTTGCGCCTCCCGACGGCCGCGGCGCACGCTCTCGTAAAGAAGTGGCCACGCCGCGCTGGGCTCAGCCGTGCAACCCCTCCGGAATCTACCCGTGCTGGCTCTGCTGGCTCGGCCGGCTCGGCGGCCAGCCGCTCCCTCTTAAGTGCGATCCAAACAAACACATTTTTGTGCGCACGAAAGTCGTGCGCTTTCCGGAAATTGAGTATTTGTGACTTTTTTGCTGTTTCCGGTGCGCTTTCTGAGTCACAAGCGTGCGCGTTGGTTAGGACGATGCGCTTTCCGGCGAGCGGAAAGCAAATACGCCCGACGGCGAACAAACGCGGAGCCGGAACTGGTGTCCTCCGCCGACTGGCCGGGAGAAAATATGGGAGAGGAGCGTCCTACTACGTCACAGCGCGTTATTGTGTGCGTTCAGAAAAAGTTGAAATCATCCCAACTTTCTTATGCGCGCCTGGAAGGTGCAAGGAATCAGCGCGACGTCACGAAATACGCAATTTCCGGGAAGCGCACGACCTACGGTTGCACAAAAACGCGTCGGTTTGGACCGCGCATTACCGGCAGCCGGGCCGCTGCGCCGCCATGGAGGGAGCTTCTCTGGTGGCGTTCCTTGGAACTATCCCGCGCGAGAGCCAATGGGAGCCTCGTTCCTTGAAACTATGACGCGCGCCGGCCAATGGGAGCCTATCCATCAGATCGCAGACGACAGGCTTCGCTCACTTGGGTCAGGGGAGTTTAAGTGCCCTTTGACGCGGCTTCAAAAGCTGATAACGCCGGTCCGCTCCACAAAACAATTAATGCTTTCGCATAAAAAAAAAAAAAATCCTTTTTGACGATCGGTCTTGAATCTCGCTTGACGCGTGCAAAGTGCTATCTTTTTACGTTCGCAAGTCGAGCTTGCAACACGTCTCCTGTTTGTAGGCGCTCCCACCATGTAAATAAAGTTTATACCGATGTGTCAGCTTGCTTCCGCTCTTCTCCGTGTTTTGTTCTTGTCGAAAGGAGGTTCTGGCAAGTGACAAGGTGACGCGAATCCCTTAATCACGTCTACTTGCCGTCGTCGTCGTCGTCCCAACGGGGTTTCCAGTTTTTTTTTTTTTTTTTTTTTTTCATTTTTTCTAAGCCTTGCGTTTTTGTTGTGTCGTTCTGTCCGACAAGCACGGTTACGCGCGCATCGCGCTTTTGATTGAATTCGCGAACGGTTTTCTTTATAGAGTGCCACATTGCGTCCCCTGAACAACAATAGCGAGGCAAAGGTGACGTGGGACGAAGCCTCGTCGCTCGTCGATGTCACTTTTGTTGACGCTGGGCCTGTCGCGTCGAGTCGACGTTTCGATTGAAATCCCGACGGTGACGACACGGAAACCCTGTGAATGGGTGCGACCGACAAACGCCGCTGTTTCCGAAAAGTGTTCTTACGTTTTGGCTCTGTTACTTTGTTTTTGAAAACGGAAAAACCGAAGCTGGTCGATGGACCAGAACCATCTGTCGAACTACGCTACCAGATGCGCGCCATTCGGACAGGTCTTGAAACGTTATTTGGCTAGTGATTTCGAGGTGTTGCGCGTAAATCAAATAGATTAAAATTTGACCTTTGCTTTTTATTAGCCAGGATTGAAATCAGAAAACAAAGCTTAAATCGATACAAAAAAAGCACTGTTTGTGTGTCAGGCGTCGCACGGCGTGTCTATAGGATGACCCGCAAACCCGTTTTGACACCTCACTTTTTAACATGTTTTCGTTTGCATCGTGTGGTGAAGGCCGGTGAGCAAAGCTTCTTCCGGACGCTCCATTCATCGGCTACAGGGACACTAACCGAGGAAAGAGGACTCGCGGTTAAGCACTAGTCGCCTTGGCAGCAGGCCGCTGGTTCAATCCCAACCCAGTTACGATCGCTGCGCGTTAGCGCTCGTTGCCCAAGGAGTGATCACGCGCTGAATGTACGAGCCCTGAGCCCGAGGGCACGGTCCTCAGCGGGTGATGGTTTCCTCCAGCAGGCACCGCCACAGACTATTACACGCTCGTTCTGTTGAACGGTCCAGCATTCGTATAACTTCGGGAAGAAGCTTGGCGTGCCGGGCATTGTTTGGGATCCATGTTGCTATGCTGTCGCTTCTACAACCAGCCATCAGGATTGCAACAGTCTGTAGCGTTCCTCGGCGGCTCTTGTGACGTATTGTATATTCTTCTCGAGACGCTAAAATACGTGCGTGGTACTAGGCGCTTAACATTTCTTAACATGACTGACAGTTCAGGAAACGCAGGGTTTTGCCTATTATGTTCACACTTCATTGAATGCCCTTATATGGTCCTAAAAATATACTTGAAATGTTCGAAGCTACATGATTCCAGGCAGCCTATAGTAGGAGGAGTGCTCTTGGTGTGGCGTGCGTCATTCTGAAAGTTGGCGTGATTCTCGCAGACTCTGGGCCGAGGTGTTCCACGTGAGTGGCCAGGGCGGCGCCGTCAAGTGGCAGCAGGTGTCCGAGGACCTGGTGCCCGTGAACATCACCTGCGTGCAGGACACGCCCGACTGCGTCTTCCACATCACCGCCTACAACTCGCAGGTCGACAAGATACTCGACGTCAGGCTCGTGCAACCAGGTGCGCCAGGCTCGTCTCGCTTAGTGTATAGAACCACTAAATGGGCTACGCTTCGGAGCAGCGTCACTGGGGTCACCCTTGTCCTTCAACTTGGGATTGCCACATTATCCAAAGTTTTGTCCAAAGCCGCAGGGAGCGCTTGTTTGTTCTCCGGAATTGTTAAAAGAGTCCGCGACAAAGACAAACGCTATTGTTTGAACGTCCTGACACTATATCTCAGGAAGTCGCATTTCCAAATAAGTCACGTCTGGTTGATATTTTTTTAAATATTTATTTATTGATGCCCACCAACGGCAACATGCCTTCCCGCTGATACATCACAAAACAGACGAAAACGAAAGACGTAAGCGTATCGAACACCCTAACAGTAAGCCTACAAAAAATGTCGAACGGATATGGACGCGGACATTAGAGAGTTTTAGTAGATCGTTTTGATTACCTCCGATAACGATACCCGATATCGATACGATGAACGTGCAAAGGCGGCGGCGGAGTATCAGGCATCGTTATCAGAGTTATCGGAACGATCTACTAAAACTCTCTAATGTGGGTAGCCCGCTGTATAGGTGCATTTTTCGGAGGACGAATTGGGTTAGTACATGCATTTTTGTCTCATTAGCATGGACAACTCACGTAACGAAGGATTGCTTGTGGTGAGAAAGGAGGTGTTCGTAGTAATGAGACATGACTATAGTAGTGACCGTCTTTAATTGCGCTCGATCTGCACTAAGCACCAAAATGACGTCGCCCACGAGACAAGCGAGGAAAGAAGTGCCATTTCTTTTAGCGTATTTAGTGCCTGAGTTCCGTTCATCTTGAAGAACTTGGGAGGTTGGACTTGAGCTGGCGGACCGTTAAACGTTTAGGGGAGCGAAACGTCTGCGAAATTTTATGAAAGCAAGAGCAAGGATGCTGTCGACCTCGTTTGGTACAATAGACGTCTCTCAAAGCATAGTATTATTGTAGTTTTCCGTTTTTCTTCACTGTCCGGGATCGTGTTGTGAGTGTATTTCATGAAAACAACCAAGTCTGGCGCTCAGGCAAACACAGAAGACGTAAAACGGTCACGGCGATGTTTTTTTGAACTCCCTAATGTGGTCAAAATAAACACTTTGTGCTACAACTAATTGCTACACATAACCGAGGTAGCTTGGCACCGGCAACTGCGTAGCAATAAGGCATATTTTCACGAGCTGTATTTTAAGGAGTTAGGGTTAGGTGGGGTTTTAAAGCCATTCATCAAAGTTGACATAAAAATTATGACAATAAATGAAATAAAAGATCGTAAACGACGTATATTTATGAGGAAGTATATTTGAAGTTAAACTTGGAGGCACGTAGATGTAGCTTCGGCTGAGGTCCATAGTAGGACGAGGTGAACTGAAAATAGAAAGCAGTTCTTTGAGGAAATGACAGCGTGTGCCACCTAATCTTTCTCTGTTCGCCCAGGCACACGGTTGGGCCAGGCGTCCGAATGCTTCGTCTACTGGAAGGACTCTCACACCGGAGACACGTGGGGCCTCAACTTCACTTCTCCTCTAGACGCCAAGCAGTTCAGAGAATGCTGCGTGAGTTGGGTTTAGTAGCCTGTCCTCTTGGGCAGCAACGGCCGTGTGTATATCGCAACCCCAACCATCTCGATAATGCTGGGATCTCAACATCACCTTGTGAGAGTAACCACGAACCCATCTCACAGCGACGAACGCCGTCATGATTAGCCACGTCCTGTCGTAAGGACCACATACTTGCCTGTTAAGCACTTAAAAAAAAGACTATACTTCGTTTCAGCTTCGGTCCGAGCGCGGCCGATGTTATGGGCAGAAGGGCCAATAAAACACCGCAAAAAGCAAAACGTCATGGCCTGCTCTCTACAGTTGATAGGACCATCCGGTATTCGCCGAGTCTCTGTGCGCGCTCCTCCGCCGGCTAGTCCTCTCAGGAGCAGAGAGCACGCCATGACGCTGCGCTTTTTGTGGTGTTTGATTGGCCCTTCGACTTATAACATCGGCCGCGCTCGGACCGAAGCTGAAACGAAGTATAAAATCAATTGAAAGCCATTACTGGATGTATCACGATTTCGTCTCTGTGACACCAAGAACGGGTTGCCTTGTGCTTTGGGCTTGAATCGAAGAATGCTCATTTGTCAAGCGTTTTTTATACCCAGCGGTAAACTGTTTCATGCGATTCAGAGAGCCATTTAAGACATTTTTTATGAAGCTGTGCATATTATCAGCTTGATAATTAGGATGGTTGGGCTTGGCTGATTTATGCATTCTCCTCAGTTTGGGATTGAAAATGACAAAAAATAAATAAATATAAGAAATGGAAGTAGACGGTAAAATTCGAGGTCGTCGATGGTTAGCAGGAGAGGAATTTCTGGTGGGCAATGCTGAACCAAAATTGGAGTGACCACTGGTCGGTGTGGACGACTAAAAACTGTTTTCTTTGTCTCACACAGTCCCCGGCTTTCAAGTTTTCCCGCAAGGCATCCTCCTCTTATTCGCTCAAGCTAGAACCCCCAAAGGTGAGCCTTCTTCATTACTAAAAACATATCTTTAAAAGTCCCAATCAAACGATAATATGCTGGCACAAGTTTATACCAATCATAGAGGCTGACCGTACATTGGCCGCTCTCTCTTATTTGGTCCTGTATAATAACCCGCACACTCTAATTGTCAAGTAATCCCGCGGTCGTCCATGCGCTCGCTCGAGGACGAAGTCGCTAATATTCTTACGCGCACACAATCTGTCTCTTCTGGTTTTTTGTTGGTGCCTCATAGATTATTGGCACATGACCAAGTAAAGTACTAATCAACAATAACTTTGCTGCACAAAAAGAAATTAAATAAAAAAAATAACAGCACAAAAGCAGCACGAAATAAAGGTAAATAAAGGTAAAAACCAGGCATGGTCAAGCGCTACCTCCGTGTTCTGTTTACATTCGTGTTGTTGCTACAATGATCAGATACCAACTTGGCCATACTTCCATTTTCTTGGATAGCGTTGCTAAGAAGAATCGAGGAACCGAATTTTTTGTTTGCGCTGTTCACAAACACTTCCCGAGACACATATGCTGTTTATATTTATTATACTCGATAGTTTCTGAACGAATCCTACGCGATTTTTATATTTTATTTACTTTACAATACTCGAGGCCATTGCAGGCCCAAGCAGGGTGGGTCAATACAAAGCTTGAACAATTTACTTGGTGTGCTGAAAAATAAAATAAAATGCACAGTACCATGGTGTGCGCTAACAGAAGTAAAGTTATGACAGCGGCAAAGACAAATATACCGGCAAACAAAATGTTATCAGTACATGAATGGCCTACACACAGGCGTATAAATAATAACACAAAAAATACAAGAATACAAAACACGCACAAATCGAAGTGTTACATCATTACACAAGTTTAAACTACAAAGTTGAAAAAAATTGGAACTCGATGAAAATATTATGAATGCAAATACTCGTTGTCTAGCAGACTAGGAGTGTTTGTTATTTGTTTATTATAAAGGATCATCACATTTAAATTATAGAAGAATATGCTTTAGCAAATCGCTTAACATATGAACATTCCAAAATTTCGTTCGGTAAAAGGTTTTATTCTTCTATAGTCCGGGAAAAAAATGGAAATTTAAACACACATATTGTCGATTGAAAGGCACGGATATGTTTCGAGTTACTTGTTCAGGTAGAGTGTTCAAAGGAGGCGAGAAAGTACGACATAGGGTCGATACCCTTTTGTTTTTTGCAATACAGTACAGTAGTTTTAATCTTGATAACTTTATTCGAGTAGGCAACAGTTCAACATTTGATAATGACATTGATCGGATGGAAGTTTTGCAGGCGGTCAATCTTGTCGTTGCCGAGACTAATCTGAGCTTTCTTCTTCTAAAACAAAGTATTAGAAATGCAGATGAACATATCTTTTCTATGTGCACGCCCCGACTGAGGCCTGGTGTAAGCGTTATTACTAAATAGTTTACAAAATCGACCTTGGACTGTTCAGAGCGATTAAACACGTAGTAAAAAATGAGTGGGCCTTTCTTTTTAGTATAAGTTATAGAAGCTGTCTTTTTTTAAGGTTAGGTTTCATCTTTTATTTTTGGCGCTAATCAGATACCATGCTCAAGCTGTTGTTGAGTGTAACTTGATCATTAGTAGTTTCTACTTTTGTGTACAAGACACAATCAACCGCGAAGCCTGTTTTTAATTTGTTTCATTGCATCCGTACGTTTAACTGTGTCCATATATCGGTTTGTAACCAACAAGGCAGGCGATTCGCATATGTAATATACCTACCGCAGTTATGCATATAGGGGATAATGCCCCCCACGAATGTGATGTGGTATATTGGCCTTTGATCGACCAGTGATATATTGGCCTCTGAACTATATATTGGCTTCTGAACGAGTTGTCAAGAGTCTGATTATGTTTATATACATATACTAAGAGGGAAACATTCAAATTGCCGGAATGCTTTACAACAAACGTGCCTGGTTGGTCGTGAGAGTCCCGTCCGCGGGAAGTAGACTGTTGGATCAGAAAATTTGGAATTGGTTTTAAATATAATAGAAGACGTCGTGGTACGTTGACAAAAATATTCCTAGAATTACCACATCATTTATTAAACAGCTTAAACAATCATTAAAAAGACACGGCGGTGCAAAACGCTATCGCATTTAGCCACACTCTGCGCAGAGATTTCGACAACTATTTTCTTCATCCGAGGATTGCTAAAATTCGCGGCTTATCGGTTTGAATTGATTTTGATGAAACAAGATCGGGAAATAATTTTTTTTAGGGGCCGGGGGGGGGGGGGGTTATTGGTAAATATTGAAAACATGGAACCATAGAAAGTCGCGGTCACCTACTGCTCACCCATCGTACAAAAAACAAGGTGTTCACACTGCCGTCATGATCTGCTGACTCGCCACAGGCATGGTCGAAGCGCGTTGTATACTTAGAACATATATACAGCCTTTTTTGTATGACCCAGAGCCGTGGTATGACCAACGTGAGTCATACAAGGACGCCGCAGACCGCAGCTTGTCCGAGGCGTGCATACGATGTCCCTGTCAGGCTGTTTATAGACCGACACGCTGTTTACGAAGAATCGGGCGTTTGCCCACACCAGGTGTGGGCACTGCGCGTGCGCAGAACCCGAATTCGCGTGAAGCGTCTGCGCATGCGCAGTGTCGTCGACAGCGCCACCGCAGCTGCGTGACGTCAGGGCCGCGTGTTGGCCTATACAAAACCTGCCTGCAGACACGTTTGAAGCATCCATACGTACGAAGAAAACGTGCTTCGTGCTCGCTCGACGCGCGTCCGAGGGCAATCCTGCCATCGTGTCTGTCGCGAAGAGCGTGTTTGTTTTATTGCGCGATGCACGGGCCTTAACTCGTTCTCCGTGGCGTTCTGGAGCGCAGCAGAAGAGCAAGAGCAGCAAGCGCAAGCCCCAGTCGACGCCCAGCTCCCCGTCCCGGGGCCGCGCCGAGCTCCAGTGCACCTGCATGACTGCCGAGAACCTGCACCGGGCCCGCAACGGCCGCGTGCGTTACACCGGGGGCGCGGCCACGCTGCCCAGGGCCCAGCAGCAGGCCGTGTCCTCCTCGTCGGCGAGGCCGGACGCCCACGGCGGCGGGAGGGGCGCGTCGGCCACCGCGTCCCGGGCCCAGGCCGGGCGCACGAAGACCTCCCAGGCGTCGACGGCCGCCACCGGCGGGTCGAGCACGACCACCACGGCGGCCAGCGTGCACGGGGGGACCTCGGCAGCCGCGAGGGGGCAAACACAGGGATCGACGCATCATCGCAGAGCAGCCGCCGGTAGGGGTTCCTTGTTTCTTTTGCGTGATTGGTTTAGCGGGGGATAGGCAATACCCGAAAATGACGAGCGCCGTGACTGTGCGCTTTTGGCGCTGTTCGACTGCCTCCATCGTATCGTCGCCAATAGGGTCGGACCTAGAGTGAAATGTTGTATAGGGTTTCTCGGACACAGGGTTGATCGCAGTTGGACCAGTCGTGCTTTTGGGCACGTTATTCCTTTACTATTACTATTACAATTTCAAATGCCGAGAAGTAGTCGATTACTATTAGAACTACGGGCACATTATTTCTAAAACGTAATTTGGTTACAATTACGGATGCTTAGTAGTTAATTACGATTAGAACTACCGGGACGCGAAGAGTGGTTTACTAAAATTATAAATTAATTTCGGAAACTAACGATTCTTTCTAACGTGGTCTGCCCTGCTTCGACGATGGTGATGTTTTGTCCACACTGAAATGTATGTGTCAATCTTTTGTTTGACCCCGAAGGGTTCAGAGTGTTCGGAATTTTACTTTTGTCCAATTTCGTGTCTGTCTCTTACCTACTTCAATATTGGCGTGATATCCTGTGATCTTTTTATTATGGTGCGAATCAGTTGTATTATTTTGAAACGTTACCAAAAATTTCAGTGATCTTTTTTTTTTTTTTTTTACCACTGCTTAAGTTAAGAGCGATCTCTAAGTGTTAATCGGCACCAAAGGAATCTAATCGAGGCTCAACTTTATTTTTGAAAGATTTGGAAAATATCCGACAGCAGCTGTTGAAGGGATGTTCAATGTGTAAATTTTGATCGTAGCATTTTTATTTCTTCCCTTCATCCTCAAAATTTATGGCACTCGCTTTGTGTGGGGCATCTTGATGGCATTTCCTCGCTACTGCGCATCTTTGGAAATTGCTCGCAGGCGTGCATCTACGGTCGGCGTCCTGACGCTGTCTCGGCGCTTTCGATGCACCATGAGTTGTCAGAATCGCAGTGAGGTAGACATTAAGGGAATTAGGACAGAACTATTAAACGGGTAGATTATTCTTGTATTGGAACGCTCATAGGCTACTTAGCACATGTAGTAAGATTCGATATTGTTAGAGATCTAGCAATTGAATTAATTAATTTACAAATGTTGACCAATTTTATTTGGCGACCAGGCAACACTGTGCAAGTTAGTCACATCGTGGTATGGTGCCTGGAACGCGTCTCCAACTGGTGTGTTTACCGCCTCCAAAAACGTGGTCCCTCGATTTCCGCCTGATGACGTCATAAAAGTGCCACGCGCACTCGATGACATCAAGTGCGCGTCCTGAGACAGACAAAAACATACCGGGTCAATTTAGATATTAAAGTGCGAATATTAAAGTTATCCCGATATGCCAACGGCTTTAGAGTTTGAGGAGGAGGAGGATCAAAATGAAGATAACGTCACTGATGTGGTCAATATAGACTGTGCGAGAAAATGAACTACGGTTCATCGACACATTTATATCGTACGCACCTTGCGTACTTTGCAGGGAACCCTATTTGTGAATTTTAAAGGCCTTCAGAGTTGCCAGGAGTGTTCGGAATATTGGAAAGGAAGGGGGAGAAGGGGGGGGGGATCCGACGAAAGTGGGGATTTTTTTCCCATTATCCCTACTTGTTTACTAGAAACGTATGAAGTATCTGAAGGCCCCCTGCTCTGTGTTCCGTCGCCACTGCACATGTTCGTCGATTTTTAGTAAAATCGCATCGCGGCTGTTGTAACACGCATGCGCGAAAGTGTTCTCCTGGCTCGCACGTACAATAGGGGCCCTGTAAGTATGCGCTGTGTCAGCGTCAGACGAGAGCCAGATGGCTTTCTCGGTTGCCCAACCCTATTGGCGCAACTGTACAAAGCGCACGCCTGTCCGTTCCTCCCCGATGCAGCGGGACCGTCTCGCGGCGGCGGCCCGGGCGGCGGTGGCGGCGACTCCGCGCGTGCCCACTACGCGTCGTCGTCGCGCAAGGAGCAGGCCAAGAGCGTGGACTACAGCCCGTCCAGCCCGCAGCTGCAGGCCTCCAGCCGGTCCAAGAGCTCGGACAACGTGTTCGAGGAGGCGTCCGGCCAGGGGGACCTGGCCGCCCTCAGCCTCGACTCGAACACGCTGAAACGCATGCTGGACCCGCTCCCCCCGTCCTCTTCCTCTTCGCCCGACCAGCAGCCGCCAGCGGCCACGCTACCTTCGGCGCACCGGCGAAGCCTGGCGTCGGCGCTGACGGCGTCCCGAGACCGCCAGCACCGGTCCGAGTCGGGAAGGAGGCGGAGTCTGGAGCGGAGCGTCGGTCTGGACCTGGCGGACGGCTCGCCGCCGTCGGACCACTTCCTCTACGATAACCTGTGCTACGCGACCACGCCGCCCAGCTCGAGCAACGAGAGCAGCTCGGATGAGGGCGGCCACGGCGTGGCGTCGTCGGCGGACCAGCGCGGCAGGCAGCCGCACGAAGAGTCGCCGACCAGCAAGCTGCTCATGGAGTACGAGACGCACCTGAGGAACGCGCTGGCGCGGGGCTTGGACGCCGAGAGCTATAGTCTGCACACCTTCGAGGCACTGCTCACGCAGAGCATGGAGAACGTCGGTGAGTCGCCTCGCTCTGGGGACGCTGCTCTTCTCCTCTGGTCGCACCCTTCTGGTTGCGTAGCTCTGAGTGTTTGCAGGTCGTGTCTGAAGTTTGCTGTGTGCTCGAATGTTTGAAAGAATTTCTTCGCGGTAAGCACTTGAGCCGACTTTACCAGGAGTGAACCATCAGACTTTTCTTGTAGACCGGTGGTTCTCAACCAACGATGTTTCGCGGGCCCCTTGTGGATCGGCGGAGATGATGGAGGACCCCGTTCGGGGTGATGGGGGGGGGGGGGGGGGGGAGTATAGGGTAAATATAATATTAAATGAATAAATGGATTTAAGTAAGGGCTAGTGTAAAATAGACCTTTCTTATTGACATGCACGCGAGGAAACTCGCCCAAAAACTGAAACATTTCTTCTAGACCTGGAAAAAAAACTTTTATTGCCGGGCTTGACTGATGAACGCGGACCCCGAGACTTCCTTCGCGGACCCCCATTTGAGAACCACTGTTGTAGACGAACAGAGGTCTTGTTGGCAGCCTTAAGGGTATACTGCGCGGCACAGTTAGTGCGAACACGGCGTTTTTGGCTTTTGCACTTACGGGCTGTTGACGACCGTAAATGTATCATTTTTTTAGACCACCTGAGACTGTATACCGCTTTGGTTGGTGCCACAGATAGGCACGTTCCATCACACTATAGTGGCCGACAGGTTAAGAGTTCAGTGACGCAAGTTTACGCCAAAAGCTCCGCCAGTTATGCACCCGCTTCACATCCATCCGTTGTGTAGAAAATAGTGCGTCGTCTGCTCCGCAACATTGTATTCATGCGTGGACGAGGAGAAAGGGGGGGGGGGGGGAGGGTTAATTAACTCCGCTGCTGATCTTCTAACTAAACGAGAGGTGAATGATGGCAGGACACGACTATGATCTTGTTCCGTGACGTCTTCATTCGTGATCGAGTAATCAAAGCCTGTGAATCTACGATCTCCCCGTAAAGCCATCACACTGGGATGGCACCAGCTCAGTTTTTGGACCCGAATCCGACTCAGAGCGTCCTTTTACGCATTGACTGGACACAAGACTCGGCCGAACCCTATATCCAGCACTCGTGCCCAATCCGCGCCTGCCCCAAGAGGGCACAGATTGGGCCGCTTGGGGCAGGGCCAACCCTTCCCAAGCGGCAAAGACGCTAAAGCTTGGCAAGAGTCACCGCGAAGCGGCAGACGCGTCGCCGCTTTGCGTCGTCGCGGGCTAGGGTCGCGCTTGTTCTGAGACGCTGCAAAACGCGCTGACGGACACGCTGACGCAAGCTACAGGCAGAGCTGCGTGGATACATTAGTGATGACGTTTTCTTGTTTGTTTTTTCATTTGGAGACAAGGTCTCCAGAGAACAGGGCAAAAGGCAGATACATACTTCCTGATGCGAGGCCCAGTCACCCTAACTCATTGCGTCGGCTAGCACTGGGAAACAGAACACAAGTAATAAATATAAGGAAAACAAAACATGGGCAGATGCCAACAGCACAATTACTATAACAAATGACAAAACTACAACAACAACAACGATATGTGGTAATACATTGACGAATTATATTTATTATGTCGGATACATAAGAAAATACCTTTTTGCTGTTTTCTAAGCTACGATGAGAAACACTATTTTGTCTTATTTCCATAATATCTTGATAATTGTAAAAAACAATGAGGTATTAAATATGCTAATTCCGATTCCTGAAGGTCGTCCTTAACAGTGGTATTTTATAGGATTTATTTCTCGAATTATATGAAGTATTACCCCAAGAATATATCTAAAAAAAATCTTGCTTGGCTTTGAATTACATCATTCCCAATATGAATTGAAGTTTTAGATTAATCAATTTGCTAATATTGAGTAAATTGTGCTTTAAAAACTACGGAGGGAAAAGTTGCGTCTCGATTGTCAAAGAAAACGAGCGAATCCGCCGTTCGCTTGTTCGTGTAACTCTGTCGCTCTCTGCTTAATGACGTGGTCAATGGACAATCGACTCAAATGTGTTGGTCAGCAGTCAGTGTCACTGAAGCGTGGATCGCGAACAAAGTATTCTCAGCGTCGACGAGCACGAGCATCAAACAAGAAACCTCCGATATTAGAGCGTCATAAACAGAAAATATCTGAAGAGCACGATTCGAGTACTGATCTGCTGCAACGCTTGCGTGATACTGTCTTTGCATTGCGGGCACGACAAGAATATTGTCGTCGCTGTAGTTACTCTTCGAGGGTATCTGTAATTGTTAAACACGTTTGGCACAGTTGGCGACGTTGAAGCACTCGGCAGTTCTCAATGACGAAGTATCCTTATTTATTCGTTTTTATGACAATAATTTGTCTAGTATACGCCTAGCAGACTACGGTCTGTTGCGGGCCAAGAATAGAAGGACAAGCTCCTCTTATAACACCTCCACTCTTTCCAATTTAGCAGAGCGAACGCTGGAGAGGGGCCGGCTGGAGAGGGAAACACCAATCGTGGCGGGCAGAGAACTTTGAGGGAGCGGCTGGTCTCGCTATTTGTAACCTGCAACAAATTATAGTCCGCGGCAAATGCTCGAGAGTTATTATGTACGGTGGCGTTTCAACCCGAGACTTTGGCAGTGTACCCGTCAGACACTGTACCGAATGCAATACGTAGGTGGTCGAAGCTAATATGTGAAACCTAACAAAAAAAAAAAAAAAAAAAAGAGAAAACAAAATATTGAGGAGATTTGGCTTCTTGACATCTTTTAGCGCAATGTCGGCCGCCATTCGGAGGGCCACAGGAAACTCTTGTCGAAAATACGGTGTACAAAAAAAAAAAAAAAAAACAAAAAAAAAAAAAAACGAAAAAAACAAAACAGGAAAATTGATGAAGTTTTTTTTTGGTAAATGCAGCGTCTTGTTTTCGATGGAAGAGAGCTACTGCGCACTCTCCGAACGTGTTCTACAGCCCAAGAGAGAGAAAAAAAAAACAATAAAAAAAAAAAAAAAGATGGCAGCGCGCTGAAGGCGATTATAGGAAAGGTCTATTCGCGACTCCAATTCACTACAGGTGGCGCCACTCGTTTTCCAAAATGGCGGTTTTAGTGAGTGTCGGAGATGCGTGTCGGTATAGTACCAGTTGCTGAGCCTGTCTAGTGTGCTGGCTTCACCAAGCCACACAAATTATTCCTACCTATACAAGGAAGCAAGCGTGTTATGAGCGCAGGTCACCTCCTTATCCTAAAAACTGCTTTTAGCGTAATATCTATGCCAGAAGGAACGTTTTAATTCTGGAATAAAACCGAAACTAACCTCTCTTTGGGATTTGATTTCTTGGTAGTTCATTTCGGATTCTTTCATAACTCGAACCGTCTCGGAGTGTAATTATTGAACTAAAAAAGTTGCTCGCGGAAAAATTATTTTGTGACGTACGTGTCCGATCCAAGCACTTCGAGATATTTTGGAGAGTTCTGTGTCCCTTTTTGATATTTGTGTTCTTGCTACTTTTTCTCGCTCGGATAATTGTCGTGTGAAATAATGAACTACGGTCTTTTTAATGAGTTTTTGGGTATTTTGATAATTAATTGTGTTAACATTCTTCCCAAACACAAAAATAACACAATCGATCCGAATTTTACAAAATATCGCTACGGGTGATGAGTTTAGAATATGTTCACAAAACATATAAATTAAAAAAAATGCTGTTCTCACTGAAAAAAAAAAAAAACAGACAAAATTTGAGTCACACAGCATAAGGGTGGGTATTTTAAAGCAACGCAGAGGCATATGACTTTATATCATATCCAGTGTTTGACTGTTTGTCTATCTTGATAACGATGTCAGAGTTTTTTCTATGCTAAAAACAAAACAAAATGAGAGCTTTCTGGGAAAAAAAAACTTTTATGGTTAAATGGGGTATTTTTGTGATCCTGACATTTATTGGAAGCACAAATTTCCGCATTTTCTATTAATAATAATAAATATAATTGATATTTGTTACTACATAGTTTTTCAAGCTCTAATATAATTTGTTTTTCATTATCTAACTTCAAACACGCTAACAAGTATGGCAATCGAAACTGCAAATTATCCTCACTGGTGCCAATTTCCGCTTGTTTAATTAACAAGTTATAACAAGTTATCAAATAAAAATAGTCTAAAATCAATGAAAACATTCTAGCTAATCTTAGAAATTCATATAAAATTACACAAATTGTGTGTCAAGTTATCAAAGTCGCGACTTTTGACAGTCGGCAAAACTTCCAAAGTCGCCACCAATCCTTCCAAACCAAATGCCCCAAAAGGAAAAAAAAAGAATGGATTTACTTTTTTTTAATACTAATCTTCGTAGGACCTTTACTCTCTTTAATTTTTTACGCGCCGTCGCTTTGCCAATCTCCGCCTTTCATGTTCGAAGGAACACCTCCCCGCTTGCACGCCTGATCACTGCAGCAAGTGAGTTTTAGTATTGCGTATACGAGCGAAGGCAAGCACTGTGTGTTTGCGATACATGTTTCACACTGCGCGTGCCCGAAATTGCGGTCTTGGGTTGGAGCACGGCGACGGCACGCGTGCACAGCGTGGACGCAACTCTAACACAAACGCACAGCGCTTATGTTTGCTCCTATACGTAATATTAAAACTCTCTAACAAGGTGCTATCCCATACCGGCTGCAGCGCTACATTGGCACACTGAAGAGTGTTGTTTGTATTCGGAAATGACATTTCGCGAGCCATGATCGCAAGCAGTTCCGCCGTGCCCGCTGAGCAGGAGAAGTGGGGGACCCTCAGTAGAGTGCTTCCCGTTTCGGCCGCGGGAGGGCGAGCAACAAGCTGGAGACGCAAATAGAGTCACCGACAACTCAAGAAAGGCCGGGCGTTATCGGTCCGCCGCCAATCAGGTTGCAGCATTAGCCGATAAGGAATATAAAGAGCCAATCACAAAGCAGCAAGAGGCCTGAAGTCAGTGAGACACGCTCATGCGCTTTTTGAGCTGTCAGTCACTATGCCACGTAAAACGTT